CGTCTAATGTACTTTTTTTCTTTTTTTGTCATAGAATTCTATTTTTCAGGCTGGGAAATGATAATGAAAAATATTATTATGTGATTATTAAATTATAAGTTTTTCACATACATATTTTCTTATTTTTTATTTTTAAGATAAGAATGTATTATATACAAGATGTATATAGAAAATAATAGAGATATGATTTGGTAAATATCGAAAAACCTAGTTTAAATTTCGAAATATATTCAGTTTAAGAAAGACTTTGTAAGAGTAACATGGCAAATTTAATTAAAAATGAAAACATGGATATGGAAGAAACATTCCATATGGAGTCTGAGGAAATGGATGATCAAAGGATTGAGGAGCCTGAAGTACTGGAGGTTGCAAGAAATACAATCTTGCATGGAGCGCAACAAAGATTCTATATGGAGTCTGAAGAAAAAGACGAGCAACCTGAGGATTACACAGATGTAGAGCTCGAGAGAGCATGTAAGAATTATGAGGAAAAACAACAACAACAAATCAGTAATATGGAGTCTGAACAAATAGTCGATCAACCTGAAGAGTATCCAAATACACAGCTCGATAGATCATATACGAATCAGCAGGAAGAACAGCAACAACAAATCAGTCATATGGAGTCTGAAGAAATAGTCGATCAACCTGAAGAGTATCCAAATACACATCTCGATAGATCATATACGAATCAGCAGGAAGAACAGCAACAACAAATCAGGCATATGGAGTCTGAAGAAATAGTCGAGCAACGTGTGGAGTATACAGACACACAGCTCGATAGAGTATGTGAGAATTATGAGGTAGAACAACAACAAATCAGGCATATGGAGTCTGAACAAATAGTCGAGCAACGTGTGGAGTATACAGACACACAGCTCGATAGAGTATGTGCGAATTATGAGGTAGAGCAACAACAAATCAGGCATATGGAGTCTGAACAAATAGTCGAGCAACGTGTGGAGTATACAGACACACAGCTCGATAGAGTATGTGCGAATTATGAGGTAGAGCAACAACAAATCAGGCATATGGAGTCTGAACAAATAGTCGAGCAACGTGTGGAGTATACAGACACACAGCTCGATAGAGTATGTGCGAATTATGAGGTAGAGCAACAACAAATCAGTTATATGGAGCCTGAATTAACAGAGGGGCAAAATTTGAGGGAATTAAGCCCAAGTGATCCATATTTTAATTCTCTAACAGAGGAAAATGAGCGACCCGAGCGAGCGATAATAACGTCAAATATTACAATATCAAGACCATCCGCACCTTTGGAGCCTGAATTAGTGAACGAAATCGACAACTATTTACGAAATAATATAACCCAAATTAGACAAATTGTTAATAATGAAGATAATGAAGATGATACGGAAACAATTATAAATAATTTTATAAATGATTTATATTAATATTTTACAATAAATAAATAAATAAAAAAATAAAATCTTGTTTATTTCTCTCTCTACAATTCTGTTAGTGGGAAAAGATTAGTTGTTTATTGAAAGACAGAGATGGAATTATTAATAAAAATGTAAATCCATTGATTAACATATAAATAGCTGCTACATTTATTTAAAAACATACAGTCTACAATCGAGTCTTATAATGATGAATTCCAGCGCAGTACTAGTAAATTCCTTCAACAGTCTGAACTTTAAAAAAATACTTTGTATAAAGGACATGGAATCTAACAAGGAATATATCATCAACGGAGCATATAAAACACAAACCAAGTTTGGAAAAAAAGTTGTTTTAAAACTAGATGACTCAATTTTATATCTCCCTGCCAGATTTATTTCTCTCGGAGATGAAGCCATAGCTCAATTAAATGGTGGAGAATATTCTATTATTAAGAAACTATTGCGAGAAGGAAATGATAATAATGCATACAAACTAGAATTAAAACATATATTACCAAACGATTTTTTTTATTCTCCATATGAAAAATAAAATATAATACAAATAAAATTAATAATCAAATGAATACAGAACAATTTTTATTTATTTCTATAAAAAGGGAACTTATTTTCTTAATACATTTAGTGTTCAAGACCAAGTTTTACAGAAAAGATGCATTTTTCGGGTTTTCAGAGTTTAAAATCATTCAACTTTCTTGAAGATTGTTTTAAAAGGGAAGATGAGCGATTGAAAACTTTTAATTCCTGGCCCTTAACAAATCCGAAACCTAAAGAGATGGCTATGATTGGATTTTATTACACTGGAGAAGCAGATAGAGTAATATGCTATTTTTGTGGAGTAGACATTTGCTGTTGATAAACGGACTCCCCAATTGCCGAACATGTACGATGGTCTGGCAACTGTGTTCTACTAAGGAGAAATTCAACCAACAATATAGCAATAAATCCTTAGGAATTAAATAAAATTCTACCTGAAAAGAACGTTGATGCATGTGGTGCACATCATATTACTATTACCGAACAATGTCATACAAACGAAATAACAAATTCCACAGCTGCATTAATATTGAAGAGTTTAACAGTGGAAAAAGTTTTGATGTTTTTTTATATTTTTATTGACTGCTGCTTTAGCTATAGATGATCCACCAGTAGCTAATGCTCCAACAGCACGTAGAGCTGTTAATATTGGTACAGTTTTTGGTACTCGTATCACTCTAGGAATAATAATATTTGATTTGTTCCCTTTGAACGATTTTCCTATAGATTGGCGTGCAATTTTTATCGCTGAGTTAATGCTGATTGGTTTTTCCTTCTTTAAAATTGTTGTTGCTTTTTTTACAGCGGATGAAAACGCTTTTCTTCTACATATACTCTTTTGTGGTATACCCATGCCGAGCTTATATCTAGCCATGTCCGCCCGTCTGTCTGTTGTAATCACGCTATATTTTGAAGGAATTGAGATAGGGTTCTGAAATTTGGCATAGGTTTGTCTTTTGTCTGCAGGCAGGTCAAGTTCGAAGATGGGATATATCGGTCCACGTTTAGGCATAGCTCCCATATAAGGGTACCCCCCAATTTTCGGTATTTTGGTGTTCTTGACCGTGTTTTTCAACAGAATTCGCTGAAATTTAGTACATTAGGTTCTTATTGGGTACTAAATGTCTCCACAAAAAATTATGAGTATAGGTCCACTTTTTCTGGTAGACCTCATATAACGGCACCTTCAATCTATCAGTATTTTGGGTACCAAATTTCTCCACAAAAAATTATGAATATCTGTCCATTTATCTTCTGAAGGAATTGAGCTAGGGTTCTGAAATTTGGCATAGGGTTGTCTTTTGTCTGCAGGCAGGTAAAGTTCGAAGATGGGATATATCGGTCCACGTTTAGGCATAGCTTCCATATAAGGTTACCCCCAAATTTTCGGTATTTTGGGGTTCTTGTGTTTTTCAACAGAATTCGCTGAAATTTGGGACGTTGGGTTCTTATTGGGTACTCAATGTCTCCACAAAAAAATTATGAGTATAGGTCCACTTTTTCATATAACTGCATCTTCTAACTTTCAGTATTTTGGGAGTTTTGATCGTATTTTTACATCGAATTGGCTATAATTTAGTTTTTTTAATTTTTTATAGGTACCAAATTTCTCCACAAAAAATTATGAATATAGGTCCATTTTTTCGGGTAGCCCCCATATAAGGGTACCTCCAATACTTGGTATTTTGGGGTTCTTGAGCGCGTTTTTCAACCGAATTCGCTGCACTTTGGTATTTTGTAGTCGTATATGGTAACAAATCTCCCTACCAAAAATCATTTATATTCGCCCCCATATAAAGTATATATTCTTGATCAGGGTAAAATTCTAAGATGATCTAGCCATGTCCGTCCGTCCGTCCGTCTATTTTAATCACGCTATCTTCTGAAGGAATTGAGATAGGGTGCTGAAATTTGGCATAGGGTTGTCTTTTATCTGCAGGCAGGTCAAGTTCGAAGATGGGATATATCGGTCCACGTTTAGGCATAGCTCCCATATAAGGGTACCCCCACTTTTCGGTATTTTGGGGTTCTTGGTGTTTTTCAACCGAATTCGCTAAAATTTGGTACGTTGGGTACTTATTGGGTCCTCAATGTCTCCACAAAAAATTATGAGTATAGGTCCACTTTTTCATATAACTGCACCTTCTAACTTTCAGTATTTTGGGAGTTTTGATAGTATTTTTACATCGAATTGGCTATAATTTCGTTTTTTTAATTTTTTATAGGTACGAAATTTCTCCACAAAAAAATTATGAATATAGGTCCATTTTTTCGGGTAGCCCCCATATAAGGGTACCCCCAATACTTGGTATTTTGGGGTTCTTGAGCGCGTTTTTCAACCGAATTCGCTGCAATTTGGTATTTTGTAGTCGTATATGGTAACAAATCTCCCTACCAAAAATTATTTATATTCGCCCCCTATAAAGTATATATATTCTTGATCAGGGTAAAATTCTAAGACGACCTAGCCATGTCCGTCCGTCCGTTTGTTGTAACCACGGTATCTTCTGAAGGAGTTGAGATAGGGTGCTGAAATCTGGCATAGGGTTGTCTTTTGTCTGCAGGCAGGTCAAGTTCGAAGGTGGGATATATCGGTCCACGTTTAGGCATAGCTCCCATATAAGGGTGCCCCCCAATTTTCGGTATTTTGGGGTTCTTGACCGTGTTTTTCAACCGAATTCGCTGAAATTTGGTACGTTGGGTTCTTATTTGGCACTTAATGTCTCCACAAAAAATTATGAGTATAGGTCCACTTTTTCTGGTCGCCCCCATATAACAGCACCTACAAGATGTATATAGAAAATAATAGAGATATGATTTGGTAAATATCGAAAAACCTAGTTTAAATTTCGAAATGTATTCAGTTTAAGAAAGTCTTTGTAAAAGTAACATGGCAAATTTAATTAAAAATGAAAACATGGATATGGAAGAAACATTCCATATGGAGTCTGAGGAAATGGATGATCAAAAAATGAGGAGCCTGAAGTACTGGAGGTTGCAAGAAATACAATCTTGCATAGAGAGCAACAAAGATTCTATATGGAGTCTGAAGAAAAAGACGAACAACCTGAGGAGTATACAGATACACAACTCGATAGAGCATGTACGAATTATGAGGAAGAACAACAACAACAAATCAGTCATATGGAGTCTGAAGAAATAGTCGAGCAACCTGAGGAGTATACAGATACACAACTCGATAGAGCATGTACGAATTATGAGGAAGAACAACAACAACAAATCAGTCATATGGAGTCTGAAGAAATAGTCGAGCAACCTGAGGAGTATACAGATACACAGCTTGATAGAGCATGTACGAATTATGCGGAAGAACAACAACAAATCAGACATATGGAGTCTGAAGAAATAGTCGAGCAACCTGAGGAGTATACAGATACACAGCTCGATAGAGCATGTACGAATTATGAGGAAGAACAACAACAAATCAGACATATGGAGTCTGAAGAAATAGTCGAGCAACCTGAGGAGTATACAGATACACAACTCGATAGAGCATGTACGAATTATGAGGAAGAACAACAACAAATCAGACATATGGAGTCTGAAGAAATAGTCGAGCAACCTGAGGAGTATACAGATACACAACTCGATAGAGCATGTACGAATTATGAGGAAGAACAACAACAAATCAGTTATATGGAGCCTGAATTAACAGAGGGGCAAAATTTGAGGGAATTAAGCCCAAGTGATCCATATTTTAATTCTCTAACAGAGGAAAATGAGAGACCCGAGCAACCGATAATAACGTCAAATATTACAATACCAAGACCATCCGAACCTTTGGAGCCTGAATTAGTGGACGAATTCGACAACTATTTACAAAATAATATAACCCAAATTAGACAAATTGTTAATAATGAAGATAATACAGAAACAATTATAAATAATTTGTATTAATATTTTACAATAAATAAAAAAAAATCTTGTTTATTTCTCTCTCTACAATTCTGTTAGTGGGAAAAAGATTAGTTGTTTATTGAAAGATAGAGATGGAATTATTAATAAAATGTAAATCCATTGATTAACATATAAATAGCTGCTACATTTATTTAAAAACATACAGTCTACAATCGAGTCTTATAATGATGAATTCCAGCGCAGTACTAGTAAATTCCTTCAACAGTCTGAACTTTAAAAAATACTTTGTATAAAGGACATGGAATCTAACAAGGAATATATCATCAACGGAGCATATAAAACACAAACCAAGTTTGGAAAAAAGTTGTTTTAAAACTAGATGACTCAATTTTATATCTCCCTGCCAGATTTATTTCTCTCGGAGATGAAGCCATAGCTCAATTAAATGGTGGAGAATATTCTATTATTAAGAAACTATTGCGAGAAGGAAATGATAATAATGCATACAAACTAGAATTAAAACATATATTACCAAACGATTTTTTTTTTTATTCTCCATATGAAAAATAAAATATAATACAAATAAAATTAATAATCAAATGAATACAGAACAATGTGTTGTTATTTATTTCTATAAAAAGGGAACTTATTTTCTTAATACATTTAGTGTTCAAGACCAAGTTTTACAGAAAAGATGAATTTTTCGGGTTTTCAGAGTTTAAAATCATTCAACTTTCTTGAAGATTGTTTTAAAAGGGAAGATGAGCGATTGAAAACTTTTAATTCCAGGCCCTTAACAAATCCGAAACCTAAAGAGATGGCTATGATTGGATTTTATTATACTGGAGAAGCAGATAGAGTAATATGCTATTTTTGTGGAGTAGACATTTGCTGTTGGAAATAAACGGACTCCCCAATTGCCGAACATGTACGATGGTCTGGCAACTGTGTTCTACTAAGGAGAAATTCAACCAACAATATAGCAATAAATCCTTAGGAATTAAATAAAATTCTACCTGAAAAGAACGTTGATGCATGTGGTGCACATCATATTACTATTACCGAACAATGTCATACAAACGAAATAACAAATTCCACAGCTGCATTAATATTGAAGAGTTTAACAGTGGAAAAAGTTTTGATGTTTTTTTATATTTTTATTGACTGCTGCTTTAGCTATAGATGATCCACCAGTAGCTAATGCTCCAACAGCACGTAGAGCTGTTAATATTGGTACAGTTTTTGGTACTCGTATCACTCTAGGAATAATAATATTTGATTTGTTCCCTTTGAACGATTTTCCTATAGATTGGCGTGCAATTTTTATCGCTGAGTTAATGCTGATTGGTTTTTCCTTCTTTAAAATTGTTGTTGCTTTTTTTACAGCGGATGAAAACGCTTTTCTTCTACATATACTCTTTTGTGGTATACCCATGCCGAGCTTATATTTAGCTTTCATTGTGTTGGAAACCAAATAGGCACTCAAATTTTCACCCCAGTGCTATATTTAGCTCTCACTCGCTCCCAGGCTCATTCAGCTAGCTCTTGATCAGCTTTATTCCGTAGTTTTACGTCTGTGGTCTCGGAATATTCAATATCATGTAGTTTACAAGCAGAGTCTAAACCATTTATGCCTTTCTAATCGTTTTTCCAATGTTGTACCTGGACCGCAATATTGATATCCAGGTAAATGTAGCTCAAATGGAAGTGAATTAATAATACGATTAATTAATCCTCTTCCTTGCAAGCTCCGTTTTCTATTAAATTTATTTTTGAAATATACAATCATTTTATATGTTTATAAGGAATCTAAAATGAAAGAAATAAAATATTTACATATATAAATATAAGTATATGAAAATAAAAAATGATAGTCTTCACAGTGCGTTTGATTAAGCAGGATAAACATATCAAAGTCGGAAACTTTGATTTTAAGCAAAATATTAACGAAAAACCTAAGCATAGTAAATTATTACCAAACTCAATAAGAGCTGTAATAGTTGGGCCATCAAATTGTGGAAAAACTAACATTATTGTTGAGGCGAGGGGTTTGCTCTACTCCTCGCCGTGGTGATGTGGTGTGGAGGGTTGGGGGTGATCAATGTATTAATTCAAGGGAGCGGGGTGATGAGACAACAAGAAAACTCCCAAGCAATTAATGGTGTATGAAATAGAAAGAAATGCAAAGAAAATAAAACACAAGAGTTATTAATATAATATTCTAACTATCTGGATTTATTGGTGGTTCTTTCTTTTCCTTATTACAACAAATAAATTACCTCTTGTAATTTATGGTGGCGGCGACAGAGGCCTGTTAATAACGCGTAGACGTTATGGGACTAGTTAGCTCTATGGAAGTTAAACGACAAGTTAACTCTATGGAGGTTGGTCGACAAGTGAACGCTGTGGTTCATGCAATCACAGAGGATTGCGGTGATCGCTGAGGGTCGGTTGTCGTTTACTACTACATTAACATATTCCAATGGGAGAAAAGTGTCGAGCAAGGAGACCAAACCAACAACAACCACCGCTCGGTGGCATCTGCACTCTACGGTCTGCGCTGAGCATAGGTGCCCATCAGTATACTTTAAAGTAGCTGCATACTCACACGCATTGTTATGCTCTTTCAGTCAGTCGTTGTTTGACAGGCAACGAATGAACACATACTGGGGTGCGCGCACGACGTCGTGTCCGCAGAACTAGAAAATCAACGAAATAACACTTAGGGATAGAAGTGTTTCAGTATATTTGGATTTTTATTTTATTATTCAAAATGCGTTTTGTATGTTTAAAAAATGTTAAAAACAACAGAACAATTTCTGTTTTTTTAAAGAATTAAATATTTGATAATTTTCGAAGTAGTTAATATTATTATTTAATTTTATAATATGATTATTATCTCGGTATATGCTACATTATAAACATTATTAGATTTTTATGACATATACACTTTGTAATTCATATAAAAACATTTTTAATAATGCTTTTATTTTATATAATAACAAAAATTGAATTCATCAATAATTTTTTCCGACCACAAAAATGTACACACAATTTTGTTCAGTACTGTTCTGTTTTCTCTCACACATACTAACGCATTTTAATTTTGGGCACCTATGGCGCTGAGGGAACTTGCAGAGGAGATGCCCGTGGTGTCAATCAGCAGACGTGATTGACTGAGCTCGGGAAGTTGAGTCAGAACGTATCAAACTTATACATTCCGGCCCCCTTGCTACGATCGACAAAGTAGCAATTAACAATTAAAATGGAATATGGGTTAGTAAAAGCTATATGAACGTAAATTCAGATTTCAAGTGAGCTTCAATGTACATGTTACAAATTTAGCAAATGACACGAGTTTTGTAAACGAGTGATTTGTATATTCAAAGGATAAGGTGGTCGATTTCTATTATGGGTGGGAGATTAGGTGGCAGGAACAGAACCGGTCAGTATATACCCGAATATAGACTTTTGGGCCAACAACGAATTTAAAACTAATTTTGGTGGTTCGGTTTCCAGTATTTGGGGATAAAGATCAGCGCCAAGTAGCAAATCTATTGGGCTGCCGTCAAAAGTATCAGCTAAATCTAAATTAGGACATCTAGATTTTAACGTCGATATGGGTGGATGCGAAAACAATTTCCCCTTGACATTAGGCCGAACAAATGCCTTTGCGTCAACAATTTTAGACGAATTTTTGGGGGAAGACAACTTAAGAGAACACATTTCTCTTGGTGTAGCAGGGTTGGATTCCTTCTTCGAATTAGCAGAAATGCCAAGTGCATTTTTAAGTTTTTTACTTACAACAGATACCTTGGAGGAAGGATCAATAATGGCACGAACAGCGTGTGTTTTTCCATTATGAACAATATTTACCACTGCTGTTCCTAAGAGAACATTGGTATCTTGGAAGGGGTGAGGTATCGGTGGATTTACAACTTTCTTATTCGAAGAAGGGTGCGACAAAACCGGAGTAAGTTTTTCTGAAGAACGGGGCAACAAAGTCTGTTCTCGACTTTTGACCTTTGTAAAAGCCTGAGGTGAATTGGAGGGAGCAACAACTATATTAATTAGTGGCCGGTGAAGAAGGCTGTGGTGCCTTTGTTTGCATGAAGTGCAACTGTGTTTGCTTTTGCACGTTTTGACTACATGGCCACGAGATAAACAATTTACACAACATTTATTTTTCGTAACAATCGAGAATTTGTCCTCAAACGAAAGTTTTAGAAACTGGGGGCAGAGCCGAAAATTATCGCTCTGGTTAGGACAAATGGAGCAAGAAGTTTTGGAGGGTGAATTTAAAGCTCGAGGTGGGGTAACACATTTTGCATGATGTGCCGACAAAAATTTATTGGGGGAGTTAGAAGTAGCGCTACGTGGCAACTTTCTAGAGGAGATTGGAGAAGTCATTTTCTTTGGCAACGACAACATATATTTGGAGGGGAGGATGTGTTCTAAACAAGTCAATGTTTGTATCCTCTCAGTGAGGAAAGCATCTAATTGTCCCAAGAGGACAACAACGATTTATTTTTTATACTTTGCTCCCAAAGAGTCAAACTCAATTTTGGCAATCGCTGCAAGCAAATAAAAACAACAATCAGATCCCAATGATCCGTGGTGACGTCATAGACTGACATTGCAGCAAGGCAACTATTTATCCCACGTTGGATAGTTTTAAGGCCAGAAATAGTTTCAATGTCTAAGGAGGGGATTTCAAACAAACATTTAAGGTGACTATTAACAACGATACGTTTATTCTCATACGTATCTGAGAGGGCTTTCCACGCTAGAGAGAAACTACAATTGGTGAGTGGAAATCTGGAAACGATTTCACGAGCCTCACCGGTGGTCTTCTGTATTAGGTAACAGAGACGTCCAATGTCCGAAATATGTGAATTGTTTATAAATAAGGTGGTGAACAGATCCCGAAAGGTGGGCCAGGATATAAAATCGCCAGAGAAAACTTCAATGTCGATAGGTGGAACAACTAGACTATGTTTATCGACAGGTGGATTGGTGTAGCTATTGTTGGTGGAAGAATTTTGAAATTCTGAAGCACCTATAGGAGTGGTGGACTGCACATTATTCGAAGCGGAAGGTGAAGAGAAGGT